GGTTATGATGTGGCTGGAGCTCGTATCCCCTTGTCTAGCTAGTGGCAACCTTGGGTGTTTTCCTCAAGTTGGTTTGGTCCGATCAGCGCTTTATTCACCTAATTGGATGGTCCTTGCACGACTTCGGGGATGCTTGGAGCCTCGGCCTTTTACTGAGCCTTCTCTTAGTAGTTTTTATCCTTTTTATTATGCTTGGTTTTTTTCTTTGATGGTGTAATCATTTATTATTGCTTTTTTGTATCTTGCTTTGTAACCCTATTTTATTATCTAATATATTTGCTGGTTTTTGGAATATATATATATATATATATATATATATATATATATCTAAGCACACTGATGAACTCACTATGGTTAAAAAATTAATAAAAAAAATGGAACTATACCTATTTAGGATGACTCACACAGTAGTCTGTGCTAGTCAACCCTAATTCCTTTCTAGGTCCAAGTGATGTTGATAACATAATATACATGCTAAATTATTTTTAATGACCACTCTGGTTCACCTTGTTTGCATCATTAGCATACATGCATCAATTTAATTGACATTCTAATATCAACTTGACCAAATAGTCTAGTTATACATGTTAGCTAAACTTCCTACGAACTTAATTATACCACAATGGTTAAATATTTTCCAATATGATCATACTTGTTTGATTATACTTTCTAGTTCGCCCAACCAGATCCCGTTGGCTAAGAATCTTCTTAGACTTGCCAAACCCATCTTCGGTGAAGTATACTCTTAGTATTGTTATGCTCTTATGATTGTATTACCTATCATCTCAGTCATTACTCTTTTGACTAAATAATATTTTGAAAGCCATATTATTTTAGCTAAACTCATCTTTCAGTATAGTTATGCTCGTTTAAATATACTATCTTGTGTAATCATACTCTTCTAGTCAAATCTACTTCATTCTAGTCAAACTCTTTTGAAAAGAACGTCCTAAATTAGCCCTACATTTTTGGTTAAACTACCATTGGACTCAACTATATACGGGAATCATGATCTCCACTACTGACCTTCTTTATACGTCCTTTTTGAGTCTTGGACATATCATATTTTGCTAAGTCTTGTCCCGGCTTAGTCATACTCTTTAGATTGGGACATTATATAGTTTAATCATCTCCTACGATTGAACACTACCCAGTTTTGGGTATACATATGTATTCAGACAATTCCATTTCTTATAAATAGATGATAACTATTCAGATTGGTCCCACACTTTGAGCATTATGAACCTCTCCAGCATGTTTGGAGCTTTTTCATCTTTCAAGTGCTTGAATCACTTGAATCCTGAGCTTCGTAGTTGATAGTTTCAACTATATCTTTTCATATTAATTGTATTTACATCTGCATGAAATGAGTAAGGGCTTGAATCTTGTTAGCTCTTGACTGTAGTTAATGATCATGATAGCATGATTATTTTCATTCGAAGAAGATTACGTGATAATGAAAGTCATCTTACCATAACCAAACCTTATATGATTGTTCAAAAAAGAGCATGTTATATTAATATATAAAATATCAATCTTTTAAAATCAATTAAATTAAGATGAAAGACTTTAAATTAGTTGAATCCCATCCGATGAGTTGATTTTATAATTTATTATATGATTTAACCCCTACTACATCTAGACTTGCATACATGCTAAGATGCTATGATAGTTCACAATCCTTAACCACTTAGCTAGGGGGCTGTTTGATTGGCTAAAAAAAGAATACAGTGTAAAAAAGAATGTGGTGTAAAAGAATACAATGTAAAACAAATATTTTGAAGTTATTTGAATGAGTATAAAATAAATTCTGGTGAATGATTTTTTTGTTTGGTTTGAAGTAAAATTAATGTAGTATAAAGTTTAAAGATGGTGGTAACTAGCGAGAGAGAGTCGTGGTCAGGGTGGTGGCCGGAGGTAGGTGAAGGTGTTCGATGTAGGTTAAGCGAGCATGCTTGAGATGTAAACCGTTCTCACTCAAAACTAACCGAGTTTGGTTAACCTTAAAAATAACCTAGAATGGTTTATACTAAATTTGTTTTACTATATATTACTTATTTATCCAACCAAACATCAAATTTTTTAAAACACTTGTATTTGAAATACTTTACATCCTTATGTAATCCAAACAAACAGCCCCTAAGGGAGATTGTAGTTAGGGCGACACCTTACTAGAAAATTCTCAAAAATATTTAAGGTGCATAATCATGAAAGGGATAATATATGGTTTTCCAAGAACATTCATATTAAACCTCTAATTATTAAGATTTTTTAACAATAAAATCCTAAACTTGAAAAATCCTAGCTTGCATAGTATGATTCACTACGCCTTGAAAATTTTATTAGAGATTTAGTATAGTCCTTTTCCAAAGACTTTGAGAATTTTTTGAATTCATTTGATAGATTAAGTACTTAAATTAGACTTTTTAAAAAAATTTAAAATAAAAAATTAAAATTTTCAAAACAAACATTTTCCAAGATTTTTCATCCTTCAAATTACTTAAGTTTAAAATTTTATTAGAATTGGACAATATATAACTCAACAAAAATCTAAAAAATCTTCATTAACCCCAAAGAAATATTACCTCATCTTCCTCACCCAGACGCATGTGCACAACCCTAATCCGGGTTGATCACAAGTTGGCTAACCTACGACCATTTCTTTCAAACCACTTAACAGAACTGAGTGATTTTGGTGGAATTGGATTCGTGGGATCAAAGGCTTTCAAGGGATTTTTTGCAACTAATCGTAGCTTATATTGATTACCCTATCTAATTGTTAAAAAAATAAAAAAATAAAAAACTTCACCTTCATGTCCCTTGTAAGCTCGAAGTTTTGGATGCCTCCCCTTAAGAAAGGTGATAGAAGACAAACCCTCACACAAATTTGTTAGAGAAGCATTGGTTGGCCAGGTTGAGCAACTCCAAGTTATACAATGGTTTTTTAACCTATTTTGACAGCTAACCCTCGCCTATAATGGTTGAAAGTATTTTGATCAATGGCGGATCCATCCACAACCAAGGGTAACTCGGTAATTTGAATATGTTGGATAAATTAGTAATTTTACCTACCCAATAAATATTTTTTCCCATGATTAAAAAAAAAAAAAACATAACCCTCCCCAACCCTAATCTACTCAAATGTCACCTTGCCCTATATCCTTCTGTCACATTCTACTCTCACGTGACTCACATCGCACTCATCATTTGCCACGACCAATATCCACCCAATCGAATCCTCTTCAATGAAGAAACTTGCCAATGGAGATTGCTGACGCTACCTCCTCCGCTATTCATGTTTTGTAAATGGTTGTAGGAATTTACCCCTTTTTCTATAAGTATATGCAAGATTTTGCTATGAATTGCATATTGTTTATTTTATTTTTTTAAATATAAATTTATTTACATGATAAGTTTGCTCACCCTTAAAAGAGAGGTTTGCTTCGCCCCTGATTTGGATATGTAGAGGAAGATTGCATGTGATTAGAAATAGAGTGAATGCACACACTTGACCACTTGTTTTTTATTTCTCTTATAGCCCAAAGATAACCAAGGATGAATCATGATTTGGTTAAGTTAACTCAAGCTTAAGCCATTCAAGCTCAAAACTTGAAGCTTGAGGTGAAGTTAAGCCAGATTTCAGGTGTATTATCATCAAAACTAGAAGCTAAAACTTAAGGAACACCATTGGCCAGTTATACTTATGCTCACCCTACTAACCCATGATTTAACCATGGTTTGGATGGTGGGCTAAAACTAAAAATTGCAGAGAGGACTATTTTAAGGTGGATAGGATTAAATAAAATTTATTAGGATAAATGGATTAATCATTTGATGGGTTGGAAAGACCTAAATTCACTTATTTTAGCATATGTCCCATCATCGTCAAGTGTTTTTATTTCCACATACCTCTAAATGTATTTATGTTTATTATTTCCAAGTATGCTAACCACATTCATACTAATTAAATCATATCTTCAAGCTTTGAATTGTAGATGACAGGATTGGAAAATTAGTTAATTTTTTCATTGTGTTATGACGGAAAGCAGTTCGAATCAACAACAAAAAAAATCCTTTATCCCACTACATGGGATTGGCTACAAGAATCATTTTTCTCCATTGTGTCCTATTAAGAGTCAAATTCTCATTTAAACCTAATAAAAAAAGGTCATTTTTAATACTTCCTAACGAAGTCATTTTAGGTCTACCTCTATCTTTCTTAGCATAAGCTGGATCTAATACATCTACTCTTCTAACAAGAAAGGAAAGAGATTTGAGATTTGAAATCATCACATACACATAACATAAATAATCAAACCAATATCATGCAAATTATTGGCATTCTACCCATCAAAGTTTAATGAATGATCAGCAAATCCAAAGTGTCAAACTTGTAGCACATGAATAGGACCTATGATGCCAAATCAACTGTGAAGGGTGAAAAAAAAATCCGCTAAACTATCAGTGAGACAATGCAACAAAGCACAACTAATAAATCAGAAATCTTGACAACTAAAATCCTCATAAATTATACCAACCGACTTTTTTCCCCTTAATGATGGCATTCTACCCATCAAAGTTTAATCAATGGTCATGAAAATTAACAGAGATCCTTTCTAAAACATCAAACGAGTGTAACCCGAAACATAAAAAAAAAAACAAAAAACAAAATCAACGAACTAACCCTCGCCGAGTAATACCTAACTTCTTATCCCACAATAATAGGAGGAAAAAAAAACTTCTTGAAGGAAAAGGGGCTCCCTTTCACCCTAAGAAAAAATAATAAACCAGCCAAAAACTCATCTCAACACCAAATCGATCAGCTCATGCTCACAATTCCATGAATCCACTGCTAACTCTAGCATCAAAACTGCATGCTAAAGCATAATACATAACGATTGAAGACGAGCATACTCGTGAGAGACAAACGAAAAAAAAAGCTTAATTTAAGTAAGATCTAGTGTAAAAAACCTAGATATTTGCCTGCACACAGCACTTACCCGAAAGCAAGAGGAAAGCAGCGGAACCTCCGAGCCCTCCTCCAGTCGGCCCAATTAGATGGGACCGACGAGAGCTGACATTGCTGCAGCTGATTCTCTGTAGGACGCGACGAAGAAGAAAAAGAAGAGCGAGAAAAGAGGGAGAAAGCTGAAAAGTCCCAGGAGCTTTCCGAACTAACAGTTGCTTATACAATCTTTCTTTGGGATGTAAATTTTATTTGGCAGGTTGCTTCGGGCTTCGGCTATTAGTCGAGGACCTAAGGTAGTCAAAAATTTGGCTCATTTAGAAAATTTTTGAGAAAATATTCTATAAGAATTTTATTAATTTTTATTTTCAATCTATTAAAATTATTTTGGGAGTGATATAATATATAAATAAACAATTAAAATTTATATTAGACTCACTACAAGGAATTGGGACTCTCTTAGCACTTTTTATAATTTTATTTTAGAATTAGGTTTGGTGTGGGACAGTTTTTGGCAACTTCTTTTTATTGCTTTCAAGAATTTTTTATAAGTGAAAATTATTTTAGAAATCAATAAGAAAATTGTTTCAAACGAAGTCTTAAATTGGAGAAATTATTCTATGTGGATGCTGGACGCAACTCTACGTCCGGATGTCGCGGTACCGAGCGGATATATGCCTTATAAGTTAAACCAACACCCCCCTCCGAAAATTAGGGCTGGTTCCGCCCCTGGTCACCAGATAGTGAAATTTGACCTCTAATATTGGTTTGGGCTAGCTACCATTCCTCTTTCTCGCTATTCGATGGGGGAGAAAGTTGTTGTCATTCTTGATGTCACTATCTCAAGCTCAAGGTGCCTCTATATAGACGAGGAACCTTTTCATTTCCTTACATGCCGCTTAAAAACTTCGGGGAGCTGCTGAGAATTAAGGCCAGGCCCATATCTCATGTTATAGAGTCCATCGTGTTTTGGGACAACTTGGGCTAACATCCATTAAACTTTGGGGTTTCATGGGCTTGGCCCATTTGATGATAATTGGTGATAAGTATCTGAGAAAGTGGAAGTAGCAAAGCGAATTTCTCAATAAAAACTTTAATTTCAAATTTTTATTTTTTCTTAAATGTAATTAGAACCTTGTTAATCACTATAGTCCTTAGCATCGTCACATAGAATATTCATTCTGCAAAGATAAAATTTGGGTTTTTTTTTTCTTGGAAAATGTCTTCTAATTTTGTGGAAATTCCATTCAAATTCTCAAAATTTTGCATAACAAATGTTTTATTTTCAGGCTTGATTTATACAAATGACCACACCCACATTTTAATTCAATAATTGCTTCAAATACTATTTGATAAATTTATGCCTAGTTTAAAATGACTTTTTTTACCGCTTTCTAAAATGGTTTTTAGCATAAAAATTTTTTGAATTAAAATTTTTTCTAACTAAAAAACTGCTTTTGAAAGCATTAAGAAAGTTGTTCCAAACGAAGCCTTATGTTTCACTTGGGAATGTCTTTTTATTGCTTCTAAAAATAGCTTTCTAGTAAAAAGCCGTCCGAAATGATACATTAATTTGTACATTATCCAAATTGTATTATGTTTGGATATGGGGAGCAAATTTTGTTGCATTGAGACAACTCCAATAGGCCCAATATTATTTAATTCTGAGGTCATTGAGATATAAAATAATGAATAAATGATTTATGTTCAAGGAGATCAATATGAGTTATTTGATAAAATATTTTATATTATGACCAAATTTATTAAAATGCTCATCACAAAAAGCTTCACTTTTTACATGGGAAGTTTGGTAACTAAGGGAGATGTAGAACTCTAGTTCATTTCCAGACGATTATCGCGGACAACAACCATTAGTATTCATTGCCACCGTCTCCTACATCCTTCATCTGACTATTATCATCTTACAACTAACATTTAACTCTATTATTAGATTTGAACAAACCTGATTGTGGACATCGACTTTTTTTAATCTTTATTATGAGATTCAAACAATCATTCTAAATTATGTAATCATGTCTTTATTTATTTATTTTGTTAAAATTCATGAAGGGGCCTACGTAAGGAGAATTACATGTTCTTAAAAAACCATAAGTTCAGTTAAAAATACAGCATTTGCAATAAAACTTAAGAGCCACTTATTCTCTCTATTATAATTAAGCAAGAAATAAAAACAACAAATCAGAACCAGCCCAAGGGAATGAGCCAATCAAAGGGGCATCAACCTACATCCAGCAAAATACAAAAGGAATAGCCACAACAACCAAGAAATGGTCATAATCTAAAACCTCTAAACCCTAAAACATAGGATAGAAACAGAAAAAAGCATAAAAATGGCCACAACCATAGAACCAACAGAAATCTCACAACCCAGGAGCCATCGAAGAACCCAAATACCGAAGAACCCACAAAGGGGAAAGATAACACAACAACCTAGCCCAAACCACCAACAAAAAAAAACAAAGGCACTCGACCAATTAGGCCAAAGGTCTCCAACCTACAAACCAAAAACAGTAGAAGAAAAAGTCATGTAATCATATCTTCTTCATCATGAAGAAGAGTGGATTCTCATATTTACAATTATTTTGTGGACTATTGCAATTGAGATACGACCCATAATTTTCTCTTTTTGAGTTTTTCACATTAAAATGTATAGTATCTCTTATAAATACATGTGCGTGTTGGACCATTATATAAAGCTAAGATATTAAAAACTATACAATCCGAAATAGCATCACAAAATAATCTAAGTCAGATTATAATATTTCATTCAATTATTAGATTAGTAACTCTTTTGAATTATCCTTCATTTTTTTTTCTGGACATTTATGTCCATTAAGATAAATTCATACACACATCACATACGCAAGTTTTAAATCAAGAACCTTTTAATTGATAGCCAAAGCTCTCAATCAATAAATCAAGATGAGCTGCATGAATTATCCTTTGCTAGTTTTCAAGATTGAATGTCTTCTATTGTATTAAATGAAGAAAGATATTATCTTCTTGATCTCATTGGTGATCTCATTGGTGGAGTCCAACCTGCAGATAAGAACAGATAGAGAGATAGAGCTTCCATTAGTGATGATGTCATTTTCTGTATCTTTGCAAAGGGAATTTCTTCTAAGGAGAGAGATCGGTTGAAACCTTCCATTATAAAAGCTATTGAATTTTTTTCTAAGTCCCTTTCAGGGTTTCAGTGAGACGTGGGAAGAAATGGAAGAAAAAAATATATTAAAACTTCATTTGTAAGAAAATTAAAC